ATATTAAAATTAATATATTAAATTTAATATATTAAAATTTTAGATTTAGAATTCTTGATATTTTATTTATTTAGAAATAGCATAAAGTAATAGCGAACAGTAATTAAGTTTTTATTTATTGAAAGAAATTATTAGCTATTAATTAAAGCATTAAACAGAGAAAATTGTTGAATACGGCTTGCGGTATTTGAGAATCTAATTTACAAGACCTGAAGGTATGTATCTACCATTTGCGATTACTATTTAGCGGTGCGCAATTCTCTGTTGAATACAGCCGATGCTATGCCAAGATAAATGAGTGAAATATACGTTATGAAACACTGTTTTTCTGAACAATATACAAAAATCTTTTCTTTAAACAATATTTCAAAACTTAAACCAAACATTAGTAATTGAAAAAATTTCTAATATCTGGAGACACTGATAGTGTCTCGATGTTAAGCTAGACATACTATTTATACGAATATGTTTGCTGAAAAACAAAGTGAGAAAAGGGAACTTTTTCAAAATATTTACGGTGTAGCAGAGAATTTTTCCCGTTGTGCGTTTTTTGAAGCTTGCAGAAATATCAAACAATGTCTATCATAGAAAAATATTAAAATTTATTCTACACGTGCCAATGTAAATATATACGTTTTATTTTTGTTATAAGAGAACTTTTTTGAGTTCTAGGCACCCCAAAGATGAAATTGATGAAATGATTTGCAATGATAATCCTTTAATTATCTTGAACATTTCAGTTCAGTCGATTTATTAATGAGGACGTAGCAGGGCGTAATGCAATTGTTAATTCGTTTCTTGTTTACGTCGCTGTCAGTTTCAATTGCGTTGTATGTTTTCGCGTATTCGTCGAATACAACATATCGATGTAAAACGACATGTGTTGGGCGAAACATGAACGTCGATCAGCCTCACGGCAAATCATTCGTGTACTCGTGAGTTGGATGCATGAATGAAACATATACAATACATTCGCACAGCCCTTAAATTATTTTAGCGTTATTGTTACTAGGTATTATCTCCGTGCTTGTTAGTGTCACGCGTATGCACCCAACTCTGAATTTCGCGAGAAATAGTGGCTAGTTCTCCAGGTAAGTTTTGTTAATTACAGATTCCAGCTCTTGTCACACTAAGCCCGAACTGACCTGAAAAGTCATGGAACTGACTGGCAGGGCATTTTTATTTAAAAATGAATCTATTAGGTTTTTTTGTAAAATTCTATTTTGATGTTTGTACACTATTCCTATTTCAATAGGAATTCTATTTTATATATTTTTTCAAGTTTAACTTTTTAAGAAATGTAGTAATGTTAGATCGATAATATACAAAATTTATTTATTACTTCTTGCTACGTGCTTTTTCTTGCTACTTGATTTTGTTATGTTATTATCCTTATTTTTTTATCCCGATTATTATTACAAGATGGAATTCAGTGTCTTGATATCCAATTTTTAATCATTTATTAAAACTATTTGTAATATTTTTCCTTTCAAGAGATAACGTTATTACAATTAATCAATAAATTCGCTGTTAATTCATCAAATATGCAATACCGTTCCAAGTAGCGAATTATTTGGAGAGTAGAAACAGTGACATCGCGGAAATGGCGTAATTGTTATTGTCTCATATTATGTAATTTTCTAACTATTCGAAAAGCAAGAACTTATTGAAATTGATAAGTCAGAATAAGATATCATATAAATGTCATATGCTTTTTTGTTTCATGTAAATATACGTCCTTTTGTTTCTTATATTTTTATAAGGCACTATTAATTTTACATTTTTAAAACAAAAAAAAATGCATACATTTTTTACAATATTTTAAATATTTTAATATTTTATGTTAACTTTTTCTTGCGTACATTTTCAATACTATAATAGTATTACTATGCTGAGACTAATCCTATGAAATCATAGTTTATGCTTTTAAAAACTTTCTCGACGTTCTGACTTTATGAATATGCTTCTGTCAACATTATAACAATAACTGCTATCTCGTATTCAAGGCTAACGAGTGGCTTTTATAAATCTCTTAAGAGATTTTAATTTTAAAGTTCGTAACTTCTCTCTCTCTCTCTCTCTCTCTCTCTCTCTCTCTCTCTCTTTCTCTCTCTCTCTTTCTTTTCTCTTTCATCATTCTATTATACAGCAATAGGAAAGCTGTACTTTTTAATGTAACGAAGTACGAACTGATGTATGTAGAGACAATACTGAAGAATAAAATAACATTACAGTGAAGCATACGTTCAAAGATTTATAGAATTCTTTCAATTATTTCAAAATTATCAATTTTTTCTCAATGGAAATTAATTTAACTCCTTATTTTTTCACAATCTACTAATTTTTAAACAATATAACAACGTTTTTAAAACATTAACATATCAATGTTTTCACTAAAGGAACAAATAAAAGAACCAAATAATTTTATAGGAATATTTAACCTGTATATATTATAGAAAGAAATCATTTAAGACATTAAGTAAATCTCTTATTTCTAAAATTTTTTTGCAATTTCTGATGCGTAGAAATTCAATAAATACGGGCACGAGTCAGGAAAATAAATTCTAACTAATTTATGGAATCGTGTGTAGTTTGTTAAAGAATCCGTTAAATTACCACGAACAGGGTTGTATATATGTTTGTAATGATTAATTAATTCATCTTGAACGGATGCCTTCCATGCGAAACTCTATGAGAAATGGATGCTGAATGAGTAGGTCATACACGGCGTAGATCGTGTCAATAGTCTTTATGACCTTTTTCTTCTAGGTCAATTCAATTAAGTCACAATTATATTTGCAAAATTATTTCGCTAAGTATTATGAACATACAATTTTCTTTATTACGGTTTTTTTAGAACATTCATAAAATGTACCCCATAAACATTTACGTAAAATGTATTTAACGTTTCGATTTTTGTAATTAATGTAGTATTTGATACGAGATTACTTTTGTATTGTAAATGAGAATGAAATACTAATAGTGGAATTTGATTTCATTCAGCTTTAATCATTTAGAGTTTGCAACAATTAGCGAGACTGTTTCATTAGTCCTAATGATTTTACCGCGAAACTTTTATCATACATTAAATTTATATACGCACTTTTATTATACACTATACACTCGTACATCCACTAATTAAAATGAAATTTATCTAATTCTATTATGCATCCCTTTTAATTTTAAATGTATGAAGAAATTTTTTGCTAATTGTGCGCTTACGGTTTTCTGAAATGTCGTCGAGATAGAATGCCACTTTTCTTGATCTTCAATCTGGTACAATGAGATTGAAAAGTCAGGTGAACAATGAATGTCGCGTTTTTTCACTGCGATTCCTTCGCTACGAGAGCTCACCTGATATTCACGCTACGAGAGACGGCATGCTACTGGTCAAATCATCCCCTTTCACCTGCGAGGCACCCTTGTTATTAGGTCGACGGTAGCGCAGCCATGTGGAGGATTGGACCACTATTATAATCGCTCTAGTTGGCATATATATTCGGACTTGCCGATTTGGAAATAGCTTGAAATCGCCTCGAAATTGTAGCAATCTTTTTCTATTCTTCATTGTCTATTTGACTCTGAGTCTAAACATCAAGGAACAAAAGTGCAGCCATCCTGACTTAAAAACTTTTGCATTTTTGTATTTTTGCAATTTCAATAATATATTGAAAATATTACAATTACATCATTTTGTAATATTAATTTCTCTTTAAACTTCTTTCTTTAATTTTTTGTTACTTTTAAGATTATCTTTAAACATTTTCTGCTTTGTGTAAAAAAACTTGTTATTTTTAAATAATAAATCCGTAATATCTTTTTAAAATTAAATTATATAAATATTAAAAAAAAATTTTTTTAATGCTAAATATGCATATTTGACCAATACTTATTTTAAAAGCGGATATACCAAATGGTTAAATCAATACGAAAAAGTAAAAAAATTGTACCGCTAAGCACTACGACTTCGTAACCAGAATATACTCATTACAATTAAAAAGTGCTATGAAAGTACATTAATACAATCTTTATAATTAAAATAATTTATATATTTGTTATATATTTACTTCCATCCATTTAAATATATACACCAATTTTCTTTTACTAAATATTAATTATTTCCTTATAATCGTTAATTAATCAAGCATAAAAAAAACTTAAAAGAATGTAACGTTCGATTTCAAGTAGAATAAAAAATTGCGAACCTATATTTGTTAAACAAGAAAGAATAATATATAAAATAATATGCCAATTTTTCTGATAAAGAAAGTCTAGAATTTTTGTCCAGAAAAAAATATAGAATAATTCTATAGTATATCGATTTGTCTAGAAAAAAAAATTTTTTTCAACGTATACTAGTTTGTATTTATTTTTACCATATAAATCTTTATATCCGCCCTATTTCGACACCATTAAGTCGTTTGCTAATATCGCATTTTTTTTTTATAACATAGTCCTCCGATTTTACAAAATACATTGAAAATCGTTTGTTAAAATTCGTTCGTTGAGAAAGGTCAAGGAGACCTTTTTTTGGAACAATATGTGGAGGCGTTGATAATTTTTATTCGTGCCCAATCGATGCGAAGTGTAATTTACAGCATCACTAATTTGTGTCGCATTGCAAATTTCTATTTTACAGGGTTGATCGTATTGTGATATATTGGACATCGCTAACTAAAAAAAAACTTTAGTAATAACGCAGGACGCAATAACATGGAACAAGAAATATTGCAATCGATCGCTCCGCATATTTGCAGAGTAATTGTCATTTTCAAGGTTTATCTGATCTTTAATGAAACTCATCGTTTGAGAAATATTTAATGAGTTATGTGTTAATGAGTTAAATGTTATTTAACGTTATAAAAGATCTTGTGTAATAGACAAAGGAAATTTAATTATCTAGTTACCTAAGAATGAGTCTCAGAATAATATTTTAAATAAATGCCGGATAGTTGAACGAAAGCTGTTATTTAGACTCTGATGTATGAAAACAATATGACTCTTTTGAAGTGATTTAAATGCGTTATTTCAGCGGGTAAACTTCTGGAAAGTAATATATATGCGCTGATACATATACCTAGTGCAATTTTTTACTATGCATCTGGTCTCATGAATCTATCTAAAGTTTTAAAAATGGAGGCGCTACCTATAATAAAAAGGTAGGTACATCAAATTTGCAATTCTCTGATGGATAAACTACATGCAAGTTCTATGCGTAGATGTGTACAACAAAACGAAAAGCAGAAATTAGTTCCAATATGCGAGAATAATAATAGTAAACAGTTTTTATTATACTACTTTATTATCAGTGAAAATGAAATAGAGAATGTTGAAACAAATCTTGTTTGAAAAAATAAATTAAGCAAATAATTTTAATTAATCTTGAAAGCTCATCATTAGAGGTTTAAGGGATCTTGAAATAATAAGAGCGCGTAGAATATAATTTTTGAGAATATGTTGTAATTTCCTACATCGCGTGCCTCTGAATATGCTAAAATTAATTTATCTCGAGTTTACCTTTACATCGAGTTTATTTATTTTTACTTTAGATTAGATTAAAATTATAGTTTAGTATTATTTATCTTGATTTCCAATATCATTTAGAGCTTATTTTTTTAATTCACGTATGATTCATGATCCATTTAAATAATTGTATATGTTCTTAATTTATAGAAAAAAAACTAACGTTTTCAACGTTAGGCAGGAAATCGAACTTAAAACTAATTTATCTTCTAAATAAATATCATTACTTTTTATATTTTTTAAAAATTCATTGAAAAATATTTTCATTTTGATTATTCGAAAATAATCAAGAATCTTCTATTATCTAATTTAAAATTAAAATGTTTTTAATACTTTAAAGCTGGACAAATATTAATATCTTGACAACCAATAAAAAATAAAGGTCCATAATTAAAAATCGTCCTTTGATCTCGTATATAATTCTATATATTTTGTACAAGATCAAAAATCGTTTTCATCCATTATAACGGCCATTATTTCCTATTGATTGTGTTTTCACATATAGTCCAAGATTTTATTTTTTTTCATCTTCTTACGTTAGGACTTTTGACTTTGACTTGTGTCTCTCTCATATGCTTGTGCACGCTGATTATTCAATTACCAGTATATGGAACATATATTTTAATGCCAATTCTGAACGACAAATTTTTCGAGAGGTGTTTCTGTGGGCAAGGATACTCTCGGAAAATTTCCAGCCTTTTTCGAGAGGAGACACGAGCGTAAATATTTTGGTTCCTACCCGAGATCGAACCCGGGATTTCTGGCATGATAGACAGCGCTGTTTGTCATGCCACGCTCGTGCTCTCAAGATTTTTGTTATTTATCAATATTTTAACATTCTTAAAAAATAACTATAAAGAAATCCAAATATACGAAATCAATTAATGATACAATTTATTCATTATAGTGATTATACATTTAATTTATTATATGGATTTAATTTTTGTATAGATTACTATTTACCAGTTTATTCATTTATATAAGTATAGTCAATTGTGGTACCATTTGTGTGTTGATTTTATCAGTAAGTCAGTAATGAATCTATTTGGTTTTGTCATTGCGATTCTCACGATGATGGATTATGCTAGAACATTACTGCGCAATTTCAGTATATGACATTAGAACGACGCGCAAGATCATCTCTTCTCGAAATTACTTTAAACCAACTGCTTAACGTTGAATTAATTCGCAAAACTAATTTTCTAAATAAACAGCAGTAAAATATGTACCAGAACAAATCTATCCATTTCAAATGTTACTTCAAACTTGATATTAAAAAAATAATGATAAAATTACGCGATTCTTAAATTGCATCAAAAAGAATAAAGAATCTGATTGATATTTTGTAGTTGTGATAAATAGTTGTGCAATATTTTGCTTACGTTTGTAAAGATACATATATCACCTAAATATGCTTGTGTAAGTTTAATTCTTGCAGGCTCGCGTAGAGGATGATTTATAGTCGAAACGTGCACATATATAACAGCGATAGTATTTGCGTTGCAAAAGTTGCTTTTATATTAGATCAACATTTTTGCGAATTACGTAGATTATTCATTTAAAGAATAGTTAATTTAATTATTATACAATATGCGAATTAAATATTGCATATTATTTATAAATTGTTTAACTATTCACAATTAGTGATGCACGCAATATTCGAGACTTCAAGATTCTTCTTGTCTCGTCTTGCCTTCAAATCAAGACGATATCAAGATAATTAATCAAGATAAGATTATTGATTAATAAATTTCGATATAAGGCAATGTTGCCTTTTCAAGATCATCTTGGCTCAAAAATATTGAAAATATCAAATATCAAATGAATAAATATATTTTTAGAAAACAAATATACATAGGTGCATTAAGTAATACAATAGGCGTTTTAAGCTTTAAGTCGTTGACTCAAGAAATTGACCAATTATAGTAAAATGCGAAGAGAATAAGCGACTATGATATGTCTATTTCTTAAGACTTAAAAATCTATTGTAGATTCGAGCTAACCCTATGTCTATGGATTTGCTCCCATTAGCGTTTTTCTCACTTTCTTCTGTTAGAGAGAGAGAACGGAGACTTAGATTGTGTTCCCTCTCTTTTATTCGTGTTAATCATCGATATCCTTATTTGGTATATCCCAGTGTTTGGTTTTTTACTATATTATAGCCGATATTCTTCTATTCTAGTTCTTATTTCAAGGTCATTTTAAATAATATCTTAAGATAGTCTTAAATATAGGAATCGACTATAAATACCGTCTTATGTCTATCGAAATCATCACTAACATTGCGGATAGGCTAACACAACTAAAAATTTGCTGCTACAACCAAACACAACTAAAAATTTGCTGCTACAACCAAAAACTTGCTGCAGCCATATAAAAATGCTATATCATATTTTACTATCTAAATTGTTGCAACCAATCTTTTTTTTCAGTGCAGTCAATCAAAAATTTTTTAAATGTAAAAATTTGCAAAAGAGTCGATATTTTCCAGAATATCGAAATCGAGACGAGATTTATTTTCGATCTCGATAATGAGAGCGAGATGAAAATTAATTTTTCAATATTTTTACGAGACGAGACAATATTTCAAAAAATATCGTCTTGTCTCATTTAGTGCATCACTGTTCACAATTTATATATTATCTTTAATTGGAACGGACTTGTGTTAGATAGTTCTTTTGTTACATATATACAGTTATTTTTTTATAACTTATGCTTTCTTTACTTTGACAATTTTCATTCATTTGTTAATAAATTAAGAATTGTTTTAAATATTAAAACAAAATATAATTAATTAATTTATTCTCTTTATTATATTATATATTTTATTACTTTTT